AATTAGAGAATCGAAAGGATGCGCCGCCGCAGTTGAGCTGAGTTCGCAGGACTGCGCGCACATGTTAGTTAGTACCCTTGTACGCCCATTTGCATGCAATCAACAGCAAATATGGGACAGTGAAAAATTAAAATTTTCACATATTTTCGCATATTTGATGAGTTGCTTGCTCGTTTTATTTGGCGGCGCACTTGGCTGGCTGGCTGGCTGTAGCAGCAACAGCCTTCGGACGGTTTGTGGCAGCATTGGTGTGCACGTTTTTGTTGTTGTTGTTGTTGATACAAGCCTTGATGTGTGCCGCAATTATGCGCAATTTATTGGCAATTTCTAAATTTGGTACGCATTTGAAATCTTAGATTCGCCAAGCCATGCGAAATGTATCGATTTCAGTATGCCTGCAAAAAGGGTTCTCAGCTGATTATGATTTTTTTTTTAATTATGTACATATACGAAAATGCTGATTCGAGTGCATGGAATAGAAATTGCATTCTAATGTACATATGCGGATGTTTTGTGGCGTGACGAATGTGGGTTGGATTTCAATTTGGCGGAGCAGCCTTTCGCCGTGGCAAGAGTGGGAAAATATAGGAGCAAAAGAAGTGTAAGTTTTGATTGACAGTTGCAATGTAAAGGCAAGCAGTAGCAGCAATGGCGCGTAGTTCATTGACGAAAATTTAAATATGGCGCAACTGCCTTTCGTAATTTCTTATGCGGTTCCCATTTCTTTGGCGAATCCATATAAAAGTAAAAAAAAAATGTTAAGATTTAGTACAAAGAGTTTTACTATGCTCTCCCCAACTTGTTTGCCGCTCGCCATTTACATAGTGTGTAGATAAATTTTTCGTCTTCATCTCAAAACAATCTCGCTCATCTGGCGCTGCAGCGACCTTTTTGCTCCAATGCAATTCAAATTGTAGCTTAATAGTGAATTTATTGCACTCCAGTTACCCAAGGCCATTCAAATGGTTATGAAATATATGACAAATGTCACATAAAACCTCGCATAAATTGCTGCATATTGAATGCAGTAGCTGACTGCGCATGCGTCCGCGTAATACAACACAAGTCAAATTTCCCAGCAAAAAACACGATTACCACAGAAACGAAAGTGGAAACGAGCTAGGCGATGGGAATCGCTTACCGTTTCGCTTCAAGAAGGCCTTATTTTAACATGGGCATGTCATTGGAGGTAAGCCCTTACCCGCAGCATTACCTTCAAACGAAGGGAGAACGCATGGATAAACAGAATCCAGAGAAGCGAACAAAGAATGCCTTACAGAGAAACTAATGTAGAATGCCTAGATAAGTACATACTTATTTATATTAAATTGAAATCAGAAAATGTCTTAAAAGGTTAAAATTAATTAAAATTTTTATAAATCAGCGTACATATGTATGTATTTAGGTATTTAGATTTTCTTTAAAATCGGTATGTACATACATGCATATTTAATTAAGCTTAAAATTGTACTTCCTCACTCTTGTACGTCACTTCATTGACTGACTTCAACTTCGCTGCAAATTGAACAAAGCAAAACATGATTTTTATGCGAGACAAATTTCCACAGAAAGTAACGGTAGAAAAAGAATTTTTGGATATTCATTCCATTTTTCAGCTGACTACGATGCAGCATTCTACTTTGCATTCCCCGAAATGAAGCAAAGAAGCGAAACAAATAAAATATTGTAGGACATTCTACTTTGCATTCCCGGAAATTAAGCAAAGAAACGAATTAAAAAATAAATATTATAGGACATTCTACTTTGCATTCCCCGAAATGAAACGAAGAAGCGAGATAAATAAAATATTGTAGGACATTCTACTTTGCATTACTGACAATGCCTAAAAGAAGCGAAAAAATTCGAAGGCATTATAACGCTATGCCTTCTAGAACACGTTACCACTAAAAGCGATTACCCATTTTTTGCTGGGTTAGAGCAGCAAGCGGCGGGCGAAAGCCAAAGATGTAACAACAATATATATTTTTAAAAGACAAAAGTAAGGAAGAATCCTGCACACAATCGCTTGCAACACCTACACATTAGCTGTAATGGATACTCCTAGACGAACAAATCCTTTTCGAATGCCAAGAGAAAGGAGCATTTATGAGTAAAAAAATTTACGATTTCCATTGATACTACAGCTGGTCAAATATTTGTTCGACGCATGCAAAGTGTTCGAAAAGAAAGAGGAAATCTGCGCCAATGAGCGGCAGGACAGTAGCGGCCGGTAGCATACTCCGCTACTGTCAGCATTTGGGCCACTATACTGAGGCATAGATTCATACATATATGTATGTAAAACGTATACATAATTTTACGCAAATATCTACAAAAAATCAAAAATTCTTACGAAATTGGCAGCTGTCGCATTTTTCATCTGCAAAAGAAGTGCAGAAAGAAAAGTCTTATTCCAAATAAAAGAAAGTAGAGTAGCAAGAGCAAAGAAGGTCGAGAAATGGGAAAGAAAAACACACACAAGAAAGTAGTTCATTATCTGTGGTGTATATGTGTAAGTGTAATGTATGTTCACCCTGCAAAAAATGGGACTGATCCGGGATGACTCCGGGAGCAATCGCAAAGGAGCATGCGACTAATACCACTTTTGATCTCTTTATATGGCATGAACTGATCGCTTTTGTTCGGGCATGTCCTATGAAGAGACTAATTGTTCACATTTATACCCGAAAGGGTATAAAAAACGACTAGTCACTTTTAAAAAATAAAAATAAAAATTTTCGCCAGCTGAGATTCGAACCGGGGTGCTCAGTTTTGTTAGGCGAATACTCTCTCTGTGTGCCAACGCCGCACATGAAATTTCATTGACTAAGAGCGTACATATCATTAAATCGTGAATAGTACCCGTTAGAGATGAGTTGGGGACTAATTGATCTCCAATTATACCCACAAGGGATGAGTCGAGACTAATTGACCTCCATTAGTACCCGTATGAGACTAGTTGGGACTAATTAATGCCCAATTGTACCCGATTGAGAGTAATCTCGGAATACTCTCTTTAGAGATTAGTCGCACAATTTTTTGCAGGGCATCTATTCACGTGGTTGTGCCGATTTGCGTTGGCTGGCAGCCTCACCGGAGTCACTGCCATTTCTCATGTTTGGCTATCAATGAAAGCCAACATACAGGCGGGAAAGAAAAATAAACTGTCACAAATCGTAACGAGCGCAACGGATCAGTGCGGCTTCTGTCAATCGGACGAACAGTGGCGGTCCAAAATAATACGAAAAATTGCGTTTTGTTATGGCAGCAGTGACGATTTTTTTGAGAAGTTTTGCACGGGAAAAGAATATTTGTAAATTTTTTTCAAATGCACGTGCTAACACATACATATATACATATAGTGGGTTTCATAATTATATGACCATCATATTTTTACTATTTAATTATTCACGAAATTTCTTCTGTAAAAGATATCACATATCAACCGGATTTTTTTTTTGTAACTTCATACTTGCACTTTATTACAGTAAAATTGAATACATAAACCTGCATATAAAACATTTTTTTTTTGTCCAAATTCTAGTTAAAAAGTTTGAAATTTTGACGAGACTTGACTGAACTTTTTAATTTTTGTAAAAAATTTCAACTTGGATTTATATGGTTTCTGTTATAGAATGAACTTTATTTTTTTTATAAAACAATTAAAATCAAATAATAAAAAATTAACGGTAAAAAGTTGTCAACATGTGGCGGTTGCATAATTATGAAACAAACTTCATGTTCTTACATATGGTATGAATAAAAAAAAATTTATGAACAGAAATTATTTTCAAAAGTTTGATATTTTCATAGCCTACTATATACATAAGTATATAAGGACTCCACCTTCTCGCCCCAAACCGAGAAAAGCAAAGCGGCTGATGCTTGTGAAGCAATAACATTATGTACATAAATATATGGAAGAGTCAGAAACGACTGGTATCGAAAAATCCAGCCCATTTTTGTGAGAAAAAGAAGAGAAATTATATTGACACAGATGAATAAACTTTTACAGATGATATCGCAGCAACTTTCTCTTGTACGTTTAGGAAAAATTGTCATCATGTTCAAACGACTGCTAGTTAAGTGTTCGACATAAGTCTTTTGTTGTTTTACAGCCCTTTTACTTTCTCAAATTTACACAGTCGCTTAGCTGATAAATTCTGTGTGTTTCAAAACTTTGATTTATGTCCGAGAATCAATCACATTTTCCACTTTCTATCATCATCATCAAAGACAATGTGTGCTGTGATCTAAATTTCTTAAGAAAAAAAAAACATCCAGGCCAAGTTGTTGCAGCAACGAAACCCTCAGCAATAGCACCCGACATTTAGCACTCTCAAAGGAAAAAAAAATACAACTCGCACTCCTATTGGCTGCTTGTCCAGGTGTTATACCTCAGCTCAGCTCTTTGCCTCCGTGAAGAGCGTTCGATGTCCTGACGCGCTCTTTAACACCGCATAGCCCGCAGTAGCAGAGCTGCCAACTTGGCTCAAACCGTGGCATTTTTGGCCCTATTTTTTTCAAAATGGCACATAATATTTCAAAATGACACTTTTGAAAAATAGTAATATTTCAATACATTTTTGTGAAGTCCTTTGCGTGAACTTCTTTTTCTCAACTAAAATTTTCTAATTTCTATAGTGTATACAACTGGTTTAGCTTACTTTGGCATTGGACTTGTGTTTTAGCAAGGCTTTTCTAATTTTAAAGCTAAATGGAAAAAATTTTAAAGAATTACACCTTTTTTGGACTTTTATTTTTCTATTTGGCACATTTTGGCACTTTTTTATTCTCAATATGGCACTTCATAGCTAAATATAGTTGGCAGCCATGCGCAGTAGTCGACGCCAGAGCTCGGAGCAACAACCCAGAATTATACTCGTATGTGGTGTCAATTGTATGCTGGCGTTTGATCCTTATCGGTGCGGCTCTCGTGAGGCGGCGCTCAGCTCGTTGCCAACTACGCCGAGAGCTGCCGAAAGCAGTCAGCCGGCCGACCAACTAGCCAACTGGTTGCTGATCGAATCACGCGGTGTAGTGCGCACGCGCCACCGCATGGCAGGATCATTCGAGTTTACCAACTCAGACGCAACAGACGTGCCTAACTGATTTCGGCCGTGCTAGGAAACTTTTTATTTTTATGTGAAATTTTTTGGACTTTAAAGAAATTTTTATATTTGGAAATGCACAAAAAAACATGCTAGTGAAAAACAAAGTTAAAAAAATTGTGTGAACATTTTTTTTTTTTGATTTAAGAGTTTAACAAGAACTAAGTATTGCGAAAAAATTGCAAAAGTTTTGTGAAATGTTGAAACCGTTACTTTGTGTAACTATGGATTTGAAACGCACGTGACAACGCGCCTAAAAATAGCTACAGGTGAGTGTGAAAATAGCTTTGATTATAAAGAGGAGATACATATGAATTTATTTTTTATTCATTTTTGATTGATTTGCATCTGTCCTCAATTCATACATATATTTCATTGCAAACACATGCAAGAATTTTAACCTTTGCATAAATACTAACACGCCTTCCAATATTTTACATTTGCTCGTGGCATGTAAATTTTCAAGAAAAAAATATATGTACGCACAGTCGCATTTATGTATATGTAAATGTCTCTTAAAAAGTAAGCCCCTGTCGCCTTAAGCAAAAAACATCCAACACAAAAAAAAAATTAATGCAGAAAATAAAAAAAACTCACCCGAAGGATATAATTCGTCTTAATCGATTTTGTCGCTCGCTCATTCATTCGCTCGCTTCGTCTTCGTCTACCAATCTGGCAGTTGCCAAGGCATCTTCGTTTCTTGTGCCGTTGGCGGCTTTTGTGTTTTTCCCATATCGCTCGAGGCGACCTTCAGCATCCTTGCTCCCTTCGCGGCTTCTTGCCTCATCATTTGTCCCAGCCACTGCACTAGTTCTAATTTTAATTTATCTAATTCCCAACCCCTCGTCAGCGGCACTTTTGCCAACTTTTCTATTCCAAACAGGCAAGCAGACACCTTTGTCGCAAGCCAGCGATCTAAATGGCGTGTCGTTGATTGCCTTCAACCATCCCTCTCTTTCCCCCGACGCTCTCTGCGGCGGCCGCTGACGTCTTCAAGTCTGCCGGGTAGATCGCGGGTACGTCGCGCTGATCAGCTGTAGGGTCGTGCTGCCGGCAGCAGTCGTGTAACGGTATGTGTATCTTCTGCGGTGTTTTTTTTCCATTCCGGGGGTGCTGTGTATGGATTGCACCAGAAATACCATTTTCTAGGCGCAAATGTGCACATTCTACACACACATTCACGCATTTCTCCGCATTTGCTTATGTGTGCCGTTGTTTTTTGTATTGAATATTTTTTTGCTGTGCCTGTTGCCTTGTCGTTTTGCCACTAACAATGGGCTGCAAATAGTTTCACCCAGAAAACAAACGCTCTACATTTGCAGCCGCAGCCGCAGCCGTATCCTCATTCCCAATCTTGCCTCATCAGCATCTTGCTCGACCTCGTTCGTTGAGCCAGCTAATCTTCTGCCCTTTTCTCTTCTATGTGCACACCTTTTCTTTTTGTCTTGCCATGGACTTTCTTCTTAGACGATCTTTGAGCGATCGGCCGCGTAAGCCAATTTGCCTAGCGGTGCGTATCCTGATGGGTCGTTTGCTAGTGAAGCAAACTATACTCACAAATGCTATAACTCAGGGTGAGAGTAATCCGTAAATGTTGTTTTTGTTATTCGAAAGATTTTCCAATTTACTGTTTTTTTATTCGCCGCGCCTTAACATAAATTTTCCTTGTTTGGCTAAATGAGTTTTGGGCTTAGGCAGGATGACTTGCACCTTTCGCTGGTGGTGTGGCAGTGTGCTGGTAAGCGGGGCTTCGACAATATGGGACGAGAACTTTTGCAGGATTTATTAAAATTTTGCGGTTTTCAATATTTTGCTCGGATTTTTGGGCTTTACGAGTGCTTCCACTTATTTACTGGAATAGAGTTAGTGGCATTCTTACTAAACTGTAATCAGTTAGATCATTTGCGTTTGTCATATCTGCATTCGAATTGTAAGATTCGCTATCGCTAATTTTAATCACCAAAAATCTCCAAATAGCAATATGAAATCAGATGTTAAGAAAGTAGAACAGTTTTCGAGATATTCAGGCAGTTTCTGCAATTCATTTCCGAGTAAATTTCAACCCCTGCCAATTTGAATTCAAAGCGCATCTGATTTAAAATTCAATCGGAAGTGAATTGCAGAACCTGCCGGATAGCTAAATTTCCGTTAAATTATTTTTAGAAACTGTAGAAGGAGCAAATTTTATATAAGAAATGACAGTCCAATGCTATAGGTCAGAACATTTTCTTAAATTTGTAAAGTAGTGTAATTGATTTTTACGAATACAAAGCTCTTAGGTTGACACATATATCAAGATGTCTATTCAGAATGAACGGGATTTAGTTAAGAAGCCATTCCGAGTAGTATTAAAACAAAGAGCTAATGCCAATACTCCTTGTAGCCATTTTGTTTAGAAGCTTTTGAGCCCTCAAGCGATTTTCCTGTTTATGATAGAATCTTGTACCGAGCTACTTTCTCAGTTGTCTTGCGACAGAAATGTCGCTTTACTTCGCTTAAGAGCCTGTCAGACATCGCAATGCAATACATTTCGAAAAGGCTGTCAAATTGCGAAATTTCAGAAAGCAGTTGCATGAGCAGCCCCACCTTGCATGTAAAGTGTCTTTCGAAAGAGGTTTTTTTTTGTATTTCCGAAAGGCGAATTGCAGATTGCTAGTGCAGCACGAGCAAGTTGAAATGTATTTCCAAAATCGATTTACACTCTCTCAATTGCAGTCACATCTTGCAACTTTTATTTCTGAAACTGATTTCCTAAATGTGACAGAAAGAGATGTTTTTGGCTGTTCACACATCGCAAAAAAAAATTCTCTTTCTCAATTTGACAGCGAATTGCATGGAAAAGTTGGAAATATTGCCACGTCTGACACACTCTTTAGCCTCTACGCAGTATTTATACGCTCCGGTCGCCATTTAACCCATTCCTGTTGCTTTCGTTTCTTCTTGTAAAGCATTTAATTTACATTAAATAGCAGTAAATCAACAGCACTTACGCAATGCAATTCCCCAAATATTTAAACTCGCTCGCAACACAACAGGAGTTCGCAAAATGAATTTCTTGCCAACTTCCTGCAAATCATATTTCACATGCAAACATATACATATGTATGTATGCGGCTGTTCGTCTGCCTTTTTTTGCGCGGCCACTCATTTGCATGCGCTGGCGCTGTCCCATGTGAATGTGAAGGCAGTCAGTCATATGGCTGGCTGTTTTGGTAAGCGCGGCGCTGAACAATGTCAAGAACCCACTTAATATACACCCAGAATCGCTTTTAAGTTCCATTCTTAAGGCACTTTTCGCTTTGCTACACAACAAAGCAGCATTTACTTAGATGTGAAATTTCGCAATGATCGAAATTCGGTAGGGAATAATAATAATAATAATAAAAACAACAAAAAGAAAGAGGAAAAAATTGTGTATGCAAAAGTTTGCGAAGGATAAGCGCGCATGCATATATACACACATACATACATACATACATGCACATATGCTAGTTTGCTTAACTGCAGGATATACTCGAACCGGACATGCGCTTCTTGACTCCTTAAAGGGTTGTCCCGCTTTCGATGTAGTTTTATTTATCGGAGTATACCACACTTAAGTACTTTTAAATTAAGGTAAGGAAATCAGCAAGGAAGGCGAACAAAAGGAACAGGATAAACACAGGGTTCTATATTTGAAGATTTTCTTAAAAAAAAAGAATTTAAAATTTATTAAATTTTCCAAAAAAAAAAAATTAATTATTTCGAAAAGGCGAACTTTTCCCTTTATGAATACACTTTGCTACGAATTGATATTAGCCTTGTCAGTAGTTGCATGCTGTGCAAAAATTTGTAGATATCCACACTCAAAATTAATTCCTTTGAAAGTAATTAAATGCCAACTTATTCGAACAAAGCGCGCACCCATTGCGGCAGCAACTTAAAACCAGAAATGCGAAAAAGGACTTGCATATGCGAAATAAGAACAAAAGAGTTAGGGACCAATGGCGACTCTGGCAAATTGAAACTGATTGAATTGAATGGCAATGAATGCATTAAATAGCCGCGAATGAGGGCCGCGTACAAGCCAGAAATAACAGAAATAATGACAGAAAGTGAATGTACAAATCAGCAGAGCGACTGTCTTAGCTGGATGCGCAGGCGCAAAGTGTGGTTGTGTGGCATGTACGGAAACCGGAAAGCTTCTGTCGTCGCTGGAGTTTTCAAGGCACGCACAGGCACTCAAACGTGCGCGAGAACCAACGGAAAAAAGATACATCACAGAGATTGAAAAAGAATTAAAATAATAATAAAAGCAAAGACAACATTTCGCAAAGGGCGCAAGAAAACGGGTTTCAATGCGACTGCCACAACAAAGAGAAAAAAAGCTCGGATGGTGAAGCGCGCTGCGTCTTCAAGAAGCGCATGTGTAGCAAGCGCGTAGCAGACAATCTGAGGCAGGCAAGGAGGCGAGCACCATTTAGGCAACCGATTTTTGCACACAATTCTATTAGCTTTTTTTTTTTTGTGACGCAACCCTTCTCTTGGAGATTTTCTGCTTTTTTTTTGTTATTCTATTTGCTAAAGACGCAATCTTTACTTTTTGCAATTTACTGCTTATTGCTGTCGTTGAATTTGAGCGTCTTTTTCAACCTTTTAACGATAGTAAATCACAAAAATTACCAGTTTCTAGCAACAAACTGGAATTTTATTAGCAGTAAACAAAACATTTCAGATTTGCAAATGATGGCGGTCGCTGCAGAATTCCGCTACTTTGGTGCGTAGAAACGCAAATTTGTACTTTCCGCGGTCAGAGCGAAAGGACATGCAAGGATACTACATGCGCAGATCTAGATGCACTGGTATGCAGTTTATGTGTAGTATATTTGGAGGGAGGAACGTCTAGGGAAGAGAATAAGAAGGTATACGATTTACAAAACATTCAACCGTTAAAATTTGATTTAAATTTATCCAATCAATTTTAATCGTTAATTTATGAATTTTATTTTATCCATCAAGAATAATAATTTTTTATGATTTTCATATTTTTCCGATAAATTTTTGATCCTTATTTTATGATTTTTATTTTTTCGGTCAAGAATAATCGTTTTTTTCGACCAATTTTCGATCGTATTTTCGTGTTTTATTTCATTTTCCTTCCTATTATAACTGTTCACATTTAATTTTTTGATTCATAAAAGATTTAAGTCGGTCATAAAAATGCAGTTCCCATTATAACGATTAAACATGACCACAAAAAATAAAAATGCAAAATAGCGACTATTTTTGATCGCAAAAAATAAAAATCACAAAATAAATTTATTAAATTTGACCGAACAAATAAAATTTCAAATTAACGATTATTCTTGTCCAAAAATTAAAAATTAAAAAGCATCGATTTCGCAATGAACTAAAAATAAAAATCTTGATATTTTAAAGTTATTTTCGGTCCCTGTACAAAAGTTGTTAAACAAATTAAAAAAGGGATTATTAAATACAGTCTTGGAAAAATTAATAGAGACGCGACATTTTAACAATATTATTTAATATTTATTATTTTTCTCGCCCGTATTCCGATTGTCCGACAGTCATTCGTCGAAATTTGAGATTTACATTGGCGTTATGAGGCAATCAATGACTTAATTTTACTACAAGTGTTTATTCCTATTATCCTTTCGAAATGAAGAAGTATTGAAAACGTGTTAATAACTGTCGTTGATATTTTTATTTACGAAATAATTCAACGAACGACTGTCAATGCGAACGACTTACGACGACCAGAATAGGGGTGATTATCTAACAAATTCATAGTTCAAACTTTTTTTGCAAAAATTATGCAGAATTGCATTTAAATTTTCAACTTTTAACTTCGATTTTACGTATTGTTTTTGTAGTTTTCTAACTTATTAAGTTGTGGCAAGTTTGAGGTCGCGTTGATTTTTGATATTTTTTTTACAAGCATTTTCAGCGCAAACATTTACAGTTAACTGTCGTAGTAGTTCTCACTGCGAAAACGCCCCTTAGTTATACATACAGTGTACGCTGTAAATATGTATGCACATTCTAACAAAATCAGATCAAATACACATTAAGCGACGACACCTTTTCCGCCTAGACAAGGCGCACCACCGCGAAATCTTACTCCTGTTATGGCCACAGTGGATAGAGCAGCGGTGGCGCTAGACGCTCGTCGTGCGACGTGAAAGCTACACAGCTTGACAGCTGTCATTCAATAGAGACCACTTTTGCGCATGGCTTGCAAGTCGCACCAACAACAACATAAAAACAAAAACAGCGGGTATCTACACACTTAAATCAATGCGTTACTTGTAATGCGTATCCTTGGCAGAAAGGTAATGTCAGAATCAGTCATGTGACAATCAAAAGTTTAAAGAAAATGAACGTGATATTTTTCCACAGCAACAAAAACAAATTAGCTTAAAAAAAAAACACGAACGAAATGTTTGCTTGGCTTTGATGATTGCAAGCAATCAAGAAATCATTCCGATTTCTTTTCACGACAGCGCTCAGAAGACTTGCTCCTTAGCTTGTGAGCATCGTAGCGCGACAGCCAACAAATGTCACAATTTTACGCCGCTGATCAACAAAGCAGAAACAAAAAAAAGCAGAACACGAAAAATGAAGCAGCGCGGCTGCGCGCGTTAATTTTCTCCGCATGCGCGTTGATTACAACAAAAGCAGCAATAATAAGGCAATAATGGCTGAATGGTCGCCGCGGAAAGTGGCAACAATTTTCCAGCGTTCAACTGGTGAAAATTCAATGCATAGCCGTGGCAACAAAAGGAAAACGGAGCAGCTAGGCTGCGCACATTCAATACACCTTTGCTTTCTCCTTGGTGTGTTAGGTTGGTGAAAAGGACCCGCATGCGTAGGTATGCCATGCAGCGTAGGCGATTTCTGTTGTTATACACTTTTATTTTGCGATTCAATGAAGTCATTCTTCAGTTTGCGCTCAAACGATTATCTCGATCGGTATTTGCCTCCGTGCCGTAAAGAAAATTCTTTTCCCCATTTTTTGTCTGGCTGATCATTCTTTTGTTTGTTATCGATTGTGCGTCAAAAATCGCTGGAGCAGCTGCTGCGCTAAAATTCTACTTCCAGTTTTTTCTAACGAAAAGAATTAACTGTATTTTAATAAGGACATATATTTTCAAATCTAAAATTCAAGGTGCATCTGCAAGCATCGTCAAGGGGAAGTGGATTTTTTATTTTCTAATTTCGCAAAATTTTAAGGCAGAAAGGTGGAATGAGAGGCTCAGTAAGAACTAGCGAGCAAGATAGGTCGGCAGTTAGGTATTTTTTGATGCACATTACTTTTTGATTATTATAAGTACAAACCATTAAAAGCTAAATTATGTAATTACTTACTTGAATTTCCTCTAACGGCAAATAAAATATTGAGTTTTTCTTTTTTTTTTAATTTTTTTGCGAACTGTCTTGCGCTGTTTACTCATAACAAATTCAGTCGACAACAAAAAAAAAAGATAACTAGAAATGAGCGCAGTTTTTTAGACAATGGAAACTTGTTGGAAATTTGTCGAATTTTTCTAAATTCTGTATAAAGATTTATATGGTTTTGGTTAAAGCAAGAACAATATTAAAAAAAATAGCGAAAAAATTTTTCATATGAAAACTATTATGAATATAAAAAAAAATCAACATGTAAACATTTGTTTGAGTCACTGTACGCATGTAATGCTATAAAAATTTAGATAAAATACCAAAGTTATTTTTAAATTTTATTTTTGTTTTGAAGATTATAAGCAAAAATTTCGAATGAAAAAATAAACCTCATGCAGGAAAACCGTGATAAAAATCATATAAAATTTAAAAAAATATTTTTTTTTTTCTGATAACCATAGGCTGACAAACAGCAAGAGATTCTCGAATTGAGACTTGTGACGTTTTCGTTTCTTCCAAAAAATGTTGCCCTTTATTTGCTCTCTTTGAACAAATGCTAAGGAGAGGGTAATGAAAAGGCAACATTTTTTGTAGGAACGAAAACGCCAGTAGTTGCGCAAATTGCTGTTCGGAAATGCATAATGCAAAAAAATATACATCATCCTCTTAACCCTGTATTTTAACTACACCCTGTGTATTTATAGAAGAGGTCTACTTGTAGCTAGGACGACAACCAACAACATTCGTTTGGCTTGGCGAGCAAATACAACACTGGCGGACATTTAATTACGTACAACATTAAAAAGCGTTCGTACTTCGACAACAGTAAAAATCGAAAAATATATTTTCAAATTGTTGATAGTTCCAATTTAAATAAATAACAACGCTACACTAAAATACGTTTTTTATTAATTTTCAATAACATTTTTTAATTTTCCATTTAGTATGAGTGTTTTTTTTTGCCTTTTTCATGAACCTATTTATTATTATTTTTTTTTGTTTTTAAATTACTATTAATTTACTTAATGTGGTTAATTTATTTTCGTAAAGCCAACAGAAAATTTAATTTCGTTTTAGAGAAATATCAACCAATTTTTGTATTATTATTGATAATGATTTACAGAAAAAGTCAGAAACTTTTTTATGAATATTTATTTTCCCCTTAATTACTCTTTCTTCCACTATCTTTTCCAGACTTCAAATGCTACCGTTCTCATAGCAATGCTTAAGTGGGCAAAACAACAAAACACACATCTCCAAGCCCTTCCACTTTCTCTCAACTCCACAAATCTATACAGCGAACTGCCTTGCAAAAACAACAACACTGCTTTTGACACTCATACTTATCGAAACGTAAACAACTCCTCCAATAAAAACGTCACTGACAACACCGCCCAACCCCCGTTTTCTGTTGAACGCCGGTCCACAGATAATTGCCTTAAAATACATCAACAACTTATTTTCGCAAACAACAACGCTCCCAAAAAAATGCCCACTATGACGCACGTGCTTGAACGCCGCCGCATACAACGCTATTCACTCGACAACCAACTGGAAACGCATTCGCCGCGTCACGTTCGTCACTCACTCACCAGTACCGCAAATAAAGAAAATTTCGGCGTACATTTTACGCGTAGTCCTTTCGGAAACACGAGTCTCACCGCCTTTCAGGACCTCAGCAACGGCAAGAGTCCGTTGCGCGTTGACTACACGCTCACGCGCCCCGCTCTGCGCTGTCAAACGCAAGCCAATGTGCCATTGAACGTGAAGCGTCGGAATGCAAATAACAGCGACACACCGACGACGCGTAATCGTTTCTCCGATGATTTTGCGACCACAGAGCCGGAGGATACGCCGCTTAGCCATTTTCGTTTCCGCAATGCATCGCGCGATGAATCACTCTCCTCTTCGCGCATGGGCGATGTGACGCTAGATCGGATGTTGGATGCAATTATAGAGAGCGCACGCAAAGATGTACAACGGGTGCAGGCAATGGGTCACACAGAGAGCGACCAACAGTTACAAGCAACGCGCGCGCAGGGCAGCAGTGATTCGCCGGCCATCGTTAGCGACAGTGAAATGAGCATCCATGAAATGGAGGTGCGTACGCCGACGCATTTAAAGCGGCAGCGCGTTGTGCGGCGCAAGAACACCAAGACAACAGACGCGCGTCGGAGAATAGCCCAGGGAGCGGCCGGAGCTTCACGACTGACACCACCGCAGCCGCAACCACTGATAGGCCTGACGCTACCCGATGGCATACCAAGTCCGGACACACCGCTCTTCAAGCATGGCAGCGCGACTCGCGCAGAACTTTTAGCAATGCAAACGCCACCAAACTCAACATACGTCATTGACAATAATTATGCAGCAACATCTGCAGCGGCAGCAGAGATTACTGAAGCTGAGTTACAGCAGCGCAGCTCAACGCCGACACTGGAAGAGACGTATTCGATCAAGCGTTGTCTGAGCTTTTCATCGGCCAGCGACGAGGAAGACGACGCGGACTTTAGCAGCGCCGCAAAACGCAGCTCGGTGGCATCGTCCAATACGAGCTCCATGATGGGCGATCACTTCGGTTCCGGACGCGCATCGCGGAATTCGCAGGGCTCATGGAAAGGCCCGAGCAGCAACGCCGTGCGTGGAAATGTGGAGGTGTCTATACACGTAGAGCGGCAGCAATTAAATGTACATGGTGAGTTCCAACTTTATTGGGCGGTGGTTAAAATAGCAAAATCACGAAACAAAATTTATTATTAGAGTAAAAACGCCGTTACTTGCAATTTCTCTTTTTCTTCTTATATTTAACAGTTATACGTTGTCGCGATCTACAGCGTCCAAATGGTTCTACTGCGCTGAATGCATACGTTAAGGTAGCGCTGATACGCAACAAACCAGCCAATAAGCCAGCGGAGAATTACTTCCAGCGTACGGCTGTGCATCGGCATTCAAGCCGTCCGTACTTCGATCACCGGTTCAGATTTGATTTGAGCGCACAGGCGCAGGCGCAGGCGCAAACGGAAACGGATACTGCTGCCGCGGGCGAACGTCTGCAATTAGCTGTGTGGCACAGAGACCGTCGACTAAAGTGAGTACGATCGCAAACAAAAACGATTTTCGTTTAACTCACTGGTATAAAAATTCATTATTTTTATTTTAATAAAGCGGTTTGCTTTAATCGTTGGTTAAATGCGCGCGGATGCGGTGTGAAAAGCAGCTGAGCTCCGAATTTCTAAGCTGCATTGGAAATATATTTCAGAAATCGACTTTAAACAAAATTATTTAAAAACAACGCAGTTGAAATTTGAAGCTCTGCCAAAGTGTTAAGGAGTACCTTAGCAGTGATTCGCGTTTAACCAACAATTAAGAAACCGCGCCCCGCCCGCCTTTTAAATGCTTCTATTGAACGAGTTTCATACTGTGAAATAAAAATACTCGTATTACCGTAGAAGTAGGGGTCATACATTTTTACTTTCCGTCCATGAGGCAATTCTAATTGTTGCGCCTGCATTTTTTACGAGCGCCTTATCAATAATTAAAAAGACTGACGCTCTCTTATTAAGCCTTTTATGCCACTTCTATGTATGTACTGGCCTGGCGTTGGCTGCCTGTCTGTTGACTGCTGTCTTTGGGCGCTTAGCTTTGCAATTAAAAAATGACAGCCAGCGTTCATTGTCCTCTCGAAACGAAGAGTGAACGTGTCACACAGCCCATACAGGAAGAAACCTGCTACACAAACAAGCGCGTGCCCACGAAGAAGACACGTTGGAAGGGGTATATATGTATATCCCAAATGGCAACAGTGGCGCTCATAAAATGTCATTCACTTTTAATTAATTCGCGTCAGTTTTTTTTTTGTTTTTGGTGCTTGGGCAGGTGGATAGAGTTGATACGCTCTTGTTAGTTATCTTTATTAAAAATTCAACATTTGATGGCGACAAAATTGTCGTAGCGCATTAGCAGTTTGCCTCATTTCGTCAGAATGATGTTACATACTTTTAGGTTTGACATACTTTCAGGCGCGCCGGTAATTAAAACTTTTACACGCTTTTTATTAGTTCTTAAATTTTATTATTCGCTTAACTGCAGCTGAACTTTTCCAAAATAATGCAAACCGTCGGTGACGACCGCGCGCCTACAGCGCTATCCGCTCTCCCCCTTTCTATGGGCTCTATAAGAACAAAGGCACATAATTTTCCTTTCATTTGCATTGTTCGCTTTCATCATTGCATTTCACTTCATCGGCGCGGCTAATTGCATGCTTGGCGCTTTTTTGGCATTGCACTCCCGCTACGTTGTGAAGCACACGACCACCTCTCGCGTCTGAGTAGTCGCCAAAAAAGTAAAAGGCTTTCTGACGGCTCCACAGCCTAAAAGTATGCAAAGCGCACTGCAGATGAAAGAACAAACATTGCAGAGTGAGCGCTGTGGGCGATGCCGGAATAAAGTGGCAGCAAATGGAAAAACGCTTAACGGGTGGTAAACAGACATTGCAGCACAGGACGGATGTGGCATTCAGGGCAGCATGGCACGCGCTTTCGTGCATTTGCATCGAATTCTTGTATAAACAAAGACTCACGGCCTAGTTGAGCGCAGTTCACATCTTTGCTGTCTGTCAATATGCTGGTCGCACTGTTTGTGTATACATTCAGCATAGACGGATGATTGGCGCATGCGCATTAGTTGGTTGCACTAGAGAGAGAGAGAGCACGCGGATGCGAAGCGCGGTGGAGGAAAGCGCAGTGAAATGCGGGAGTTTTTGCTTGTGGAAGAGAGCTCTGGACAGCTGGGTAAAATGGCATCCACTGCAGTTAATACGTTCAACCATTAAATATTCTTTTGCTGGAACACTTGTGTCAACATTTTAGAAAAATAACGAATAACATTTGAGAAATTTCGCTCATTTGTTTCTAACGCCTGCTTGGTTGTTGCTCAGTACAAAAATTAATCGTTCAATGCCGAATTTGAGTTAACTCTGCACTGTAAAAACGGGCTTAAGTCTGTTTCCCTTCGACTTTCAAAAATCCAAATCTTTCCAATTGGTGGTAAAAGCTTTTTTCTCTACCAAATTTCAACCCTGTTTGACATAATTTTTAACCTCAAAATTCAGCATTGCGTTAAGCATTCGGGCATGTAAACAAACCATCGGCAGCCGGCAAATTGACACGATTTCTCATGCACCCACCACTTGTCGCCTCACAGTGCATCGGCATGTGAGCTAAAATCCACAAATCTGTCGATTTTATAAGCTTTTAGCAGGCTCTCTTAATCTCGCTAAACGCTCGGCTGCGCCTAGTTTCATGCCCTCAAAAATTTCTGGGCGAAATTTTCCATGCACGAGCTCGTCTGAGCTCAGTTTGTCTTTTCTATTGGTGGTGTTCAAACGAATTCGCGGAAGCAAAACGCTAACAAGACGGTCCGAACAGTGCTTTCCCCAATCTACACAGACTGAAGCCACAGGGCCAAATTGTGCATATAGAAAAAGGCATACTTTTAGGCTGAAAAACGACAAAATTACTGAAAAATTGCCAATTATGTGATTCTGGTGCTTTCTTTTTTTGGAATATTGACGGAGAAGACCCATTTTCAAGTCTATGGGCTTTCCGCAGCGATATGTAGAGTAGAGAAAAAAGCAACTGGAACGTGTTCCAAGTGAAAGTATGTTGCTAAATTATATAATTCATTAACGCGCAACGATCAAACGAATGCGAGCCGAGCAGCGTGTGGGGCTCCAGAGTGGATAACTGAATGTGGCAGTGTCTGAGCGAGTTGGTATGCCTGTGTATGTGTGCGTGTGTGCGTGTCTGGTATGAGTTGAAAACAATTATAGCAAAAGTATTTAGCCAAAGTGGTATTTTCCGCTGGAACACATCATGGGACACAAGCACCCAAAGTACGAGCGCAAGGATATGGAAATGAAAAAATCAATAAACTCTCAAATAACGTGCTTCAAGTAATATTTAAATACATATCGCATTTCGTATCCTAGTTTGCGAGACTTTATGTCTATGGCTTTATTTCTGTGTGTGTGTGTGCATGTAAGTAAGTGTGCGTGTGTGTGTGTGTGTGTGTAGCAGGATTCCCGTTGACTGTCTCGAAGCGAAAGAGCAAAAGCAAAGTGGAGTTGCCGACCGTACGAGTCAGTGAACAAAGAGTAGTTATAGTAGCGAGAAGTTCCTCAACGAGCCAGGCTGACCGAGCGACAGACGGACCAAGTGAGCAGCGAAAGGCGCACGAAGCAAACAACTCCTGAAATGTCTGCACGAATCGAGAATGCGCTGGCAGCGAAAAGGGAAGCGCTGAAGAAAGTAACTTGGCTTTTTAGAGCGATACTACGCAAAGTTAACAGTTGTGCGGTACCCAACGACCTTTTCGTCGTCTCCTCAAGCGCCTACTGCATATACATATTTATGTACGATATATATGTATGTACAGGGCAATTGTGCAAGTATACGCTGTCGGGTTCATATCCGCATCCGCTTACACAGTACTACTACATATGTTTTGCTTTTGTTGAATTTAGCACTTTTTTGTCATTGAAAGTTCGCTTGGCTGTCAGTGTGAGTGAGTAAACGCGTGCGTGTCTGTGAAGGGCGAATTTAATCTGCCACAGTTTTAAACCAAAAAGTTGTACACTTTATAAAGAAACCGCCGCACCTGCAAATAGCAAAGCAGCATAATCGAATATTCTACTATGTACAGACAAATAAGCAAAGCCACAGAGAGATTTCGAGTACTCAACTAAATTCTGTATGTTTATGTGAAAATATAGAGCGCGTGAATACACGCTAAATGTGGCGCGAAGTATGTATGTTTAATAAAAACACGTTCCGTGATTTGTAAACGCGAAGAAATTTAAAAGCGAGAAACAGCGATTGCGGTTAAGCGAAACGGAAACAAGGATTCATTCGCAACCACCCAGCAGAGCAGCAGCGACAGTCGTAAATGTAAGTGAATGAGGAAATTTCTACTTAATTTAAATTTAATCGAAGGATACTATTTTAAGGGAAAATTGCACAACTCAAATGGAATTACTAATCAGCGTTCAAAATTGCATTAAACAAATTTTACGAAAGTGTTGCCAAAATATTTTTTATGCGAAAAATTCGTTTAAAAGGGAAAGCACATAATTATGGGTCCCGCATTTAAATACATAATTAAAAAATTTAAATCAAAAATATTATCGAAAACTAAAATATATAAATTCCTTGCCACAGGCAGAACGTAGGAGAGAGAAAAAAAATGATATGAAGCTAAAATTCGGTACAGCATTTTTTAATACAATTCCTATCGGTAATTTAAGAAAATAGCAAGAAATTTAAAATAATATGAGATGAAATATTATAAAATAATATCAAACAAAATTTGTAGATAAAGCAACATCAAAAGAAGAACTGGAAAAAATAGTACATATAATTTTACACGCTAAACAAATTAAATTTTTGGCTACAATATTTGTTTACATATAAAATTTATTCAAACTAAAACTTCAAGCATTTTGTTTTAGTGTCGAAAAAACGTACAGTTTGGCATTTATCCGAAGCTTTTTAAAATTTTTATCCGAAAGATGGAGTTACTTTTGTTGCCACATAATCAGAATTTATTGTTTTGCACAAATAACACCTTATCATTCAATTTGTTTTGTGGACATGAAATAAATTTCATTAGTTATTCGCCACAAAGCTGCCATCAACAACCTATCTCACACTTATACACATACACATACACATACACACACACACACACACCTGCGCACAGTGGCAAATAAAGGCACGTGCCACACCTGGCAGTCAGTTGGCAACAATTCGTTGCAAAAGTAGGTGGCATTTTTATAAAACAACTTAAGTGAATTTAAAAGATTTGAATTTGGTTTAACAAACACTTAGTATCGCTTCAAAAATTGTATACTATTATTAAAAGCGCTTTTTAAATTACACTTATGGCTAGCTAATCGTTAAACTCGTGTTTGGAATTTAAATGAAATACTGCTTTAAAGAGATAATGGCCTAACTCGAGATAAGTTGTTTTTTCGAAATGCCACAGATATGTACATACATACATGCATGCAATATATTATGCTTCCAAATT